ACTTCTCCATCCAACGTGAGGCCGAGTCCCACGTACAGCAACTAGAAGGATGTGAACCTATGACATACAACTATCTACTGGGGCTTTGGGGGGAAAAAACTGAATAAATAAAATCTTTAAAAAAAAAAAATCCAAGTTCCTAGACCGCAGCCAAGGGCCAGCCTTATAAGGAGGCCTTCCAAGGATATCTGCTTTGTTGACGCTTTTCTGCACAGTCCCTAATTTTACAAACCGTTGAGGATTTGCCCCTGACTTTTCCTCTCTCTCAGTTTATCTACTTTGATATCTTTAATAATCATCTCTTCTCTTAAGTATGAGTTCTGGCCATTCACTGAATCTCCTATTCTTTTCAGTTTATTTGCTCTTACATGTCCTACTGACTCTTCACACTAAAAGTCTTGAAAACTAAACTCATTACCTTCCTTCTGAAATCTATTTTCTTCTCAGTTTTACCATTTTAGATGGTGGCCCTATGTAGATAATTTCCTTGGAAATATCTGTTGTATCTATCCCCCCACTGCCAATATCTGCTGCCATCAGCTTGGATTAAATCCTTATCTCCTTATACGAGGCTTACTGGAAGTAGTCAGTCTCCCAGATGATCCCCTGCCCACCAGTGTATTGTAACCCCACTGGGCTGTGGTTCCCAAACCCCGCTGTCATTATGTCATTCCAAAATCTGAACTGATCCTGCCTTTCTTTAACTGCTCCCTTACTACTTGCTGTTTCCCAGATATGTTCTGTCTTTTCCTGCCTCTCTGCTTTTGTCAACTGACATTTCCACCTGACGGGCTTCCTCCTCCTCTCTGCCTAACATTCTTCCCAGCTGAGATCACACCTCCTTCATAAACTTTCTTTGGTCACCCCAGTTAGAATTGTTTATACATTTTTCTGAAGCATTTATTTGACATTTACTTTCTGCCCCATATTTTTAGATATTGAATTAGTCAGTGTTTATAGTTGCAAGCACAGAAGCCAGTCTCTAATTTGAGCAGAAAAGGAATTTATTAAATGATATTGAGTAGTTCTCAGAATCTCTAGCAGGACTGAAGAACCAGGCTTGGTGACTGCGTAGTCACAGACAACACCCAAAATCATGCTGTGGGACTGTTCCCACAAAGAGACATCTGTTGCCACCACTGGACACAGATGGTACTTTTTGCACTAGCAACACCACCAATGCCACCAATGCCTATGACCCTGGACGTAGCTGTTGCCCTTTTGCCGGAGTGAATACTGCATGATTCGTCGTCGTCTTGTCACTAGTTCTAACTTAGAATCTGAGCTGGGGCTACTGATAGATCGAGTTTTGTTATATGTTGCAGTCTAGGTGAGGTCTAATGTTCATAAGGTAGAGGATTTTCCGGGTATGGAAGGAGATTCCGATTTTGAACAGCCAAACAAAGTATCACATTTCCAGTCTAATTATCTTTCCATGAGTATCTGACTTCTTCCCAGCTGTACTATCAGCTCCTCATGGACAGGACTCTCATACTTGTTTTTAGCTGCAGTCTGCCTAATAGAGACTTTTGCGTACAGCAGACATTTAATGAGTAATCATAAAAAAGGCAAAGCAATATGAATCAGCTAGGATGTTTTGGCAAGTAACACCAAACCTAACTAGGGCTTAAGCTTACTGTATTGTCTCCAATGTGATCATCTTTGTATTTTAATTTTTTACATAAATGAATTGTGAAACATCAAAGCATCAAAGCTTTTAGTTGCCTAGGAAACAATGCTTTTCTTCTCCCTTTTCACAGGAGCAGACAGTTGTGGGTTAAATGAGCGGGCTGCAGGGCATTTTATGCACTCACGTGGTCCAAAAAGTTGAGTGTTACTAATACAATTGAGGGTACTTTCCTAAGTAGGAGAGCATTAATCTGGATGACTAACAGCACATGGTCAAAATTTTCAGCACAGTTGTTTCTCAGACTGGCACAATTTATTAACAGTTGTGAACAACTTATTAGCAGTGATGGAATAGATTATTGGTCTCACAAAGCTCTTTCCAATCCTAAAATTAAATATATAATAAAAAATGTGTTTGTGGTTATAAAAAATATAAATGCTTAGTATAGAAATCTATCAAATATAAAAATGTATGAAGAAGAAAATTAAAATCCCATCTCCCAAGAAAACTGTCGTCACATTTTTGGCTTATTTCTTTACAGTGTTTTTTCTTCTTAATGTTTATATTTATTATTAACTTAGTTAAGATCATAGTGTATATACTTTTGTAGGTTACTTTTTCACTGATATTTATATCACTGACAATTTGTGTTATTAAATATTCTGCATAAATATAATTTGAACATATATGAAATTTGAAGTTACAAAAACTGTTTTCATTTTATTAAGATTTATGCTACGGAAGATGCTGCTATCTTTTCCTGAAGTCGGCTATGGCCCAAAAGATCAGCGTAGAGGTGTAATTCCTTCCACATTCTCTGTACACAAAACCAACCACTCCGATGTGTAGCCGTAGCCACAGTCTGTACCTCTGTTGTTTTTCACTTTCTGGTCTGATGGGCTCTGTTCATCCTACCCACCCTGCCCTCAGCAGTTGCCATGATACCAGATGATAACTGGCTTCGGTGATTTCTCTTCTTATTGCTTAAGGCAACGGCACTTGCTGTTCAGCAGCTGCTTAGTTGCTGCTCCTCTGCTTGAGTGAGGCGTACCAGAGCCCAATTTCCGGGCTGGTGAGAGCTCATTCAGTCACTGTGTAATCACTGATCCTCTCTTGATCTCTGTGCTGGGGATGTGAAGGTAATGACCCCGTCCAGCCCCATGCAACTCACAATCTAGGAAGAAGTATGTGCAGAGGACCAGAATACAAAGTGCTGTGATGGACCCTCAGAGAGGGGCTAACTCAGTTGGTCTAGGGAGTCTAAAAAAGGCTCCACAGAGGAGACTGTGTTTGAATTGAGATTTTTCACCTTATGAGCCACCAATTTACAACTACTCTTATGTGGCCTCTTGTTTTATTTCTTATTTCTTGCTGCTTAGAGCTACCTTGGATAGATCTTAGCATGTATGTCATAACTTGGGTGAGCTTGGCATAAGGCAGAATGATATCTGGCCTGCTTGGCCTGGTTCTGATGCTCCCAAGTGGAGGAGGGAGATGGTTGTGATGCAGGAGGTGGAGCCACATAGCCCTAGTCCCCAGTCAGTGGATGGGGAGGACAGTGTAGTCACCTCTGGACAAAGGGAGTGACAGGATCTGAAAGTATGTCAGGCCCCAGACAAAAAGACTGGGTTCCAGCTGATGAGCGGGCAGGTTGAGACCTGAATACTGTGCAGGACTACCTGTTGGAGCCCAGGCTTGCAGACCTGACCAAGCCAGGGTAGGTGGATGCTGTGTCTTGAGAGATCCATAGGCACCCAGAGCTCCTTCTTAAGATCATGCAGTTCTCTGAGTTCCACCATGGTGTGGGTTGTAGTCTGGAAGCCCAGCAGGGAAGATTAGGCGCTTGAATCCTAGGGTGGAGGAGTGCCTGAATTTGGAGGCCCCTCCACAGGCAGTGAGTGTTTGTCATACACTGATAGCATTGGTGTAGGGCCTAGCGTGGTCTTGATCCTGCTGTTGAGATTGTCAGTGGAACATTAGGAAAAAGGGAGGGGGCCATGACATTGCAACAAGTTGTCTTTTCTATTATCAGAATTAACCTATTAAGTGGAAGTTTTATTTTACAAAACCCTCAGCCAAATACTGTAAATAGTGTTTATCTTGTGTCTTTCCAAAGAACTCAGTGTGATTTGCAGATGTTGTGAATGTTGTGGCCATGTCGTTCCCTTGTAGCTGTTTGAATGGTGAGGACAACTTGGAAAATGCTAGCTTTTAAAAATGTAGTCTTTCAATGTTGTTTATGTAAATGTACATTTGTTGAAATTATTTTTCCTAGATAATCCCCTATGTTGGGACCATTCCTGACCAGTTGGATCCTGGAACTTTGATTGTAGTACGTGGGCATGTTCCTAATGACTCAGACAGGTAAAATCATTGTGTTAGATGAAAAAAGAATGTGAATAAACTGTCTTTTTGTGATTGTGGAACAACAACAAAAAATAATATGGGAGAGACCATTTTTGATACTTTGAGGCCTGCTTTTGCTTTTATCAACAGCCCTGGACAAGGTGCTTAGGATATTGGAATGAATGGCTGAAATAAAAGTTATTTGGATTTTTTATTTTATTGCTATGTCTGATTTCCATATAAAGAATCAGATATATAAAGAAGGGAATTGTGATCAGATGACAGGGACAAAGTCTAGTTACAGTATAACATTCCCACAGCATCTCTTAAGATCTGTTCTGGGCGGTTTTATCAAATGCTTGCTTTGGATACAAACTCTGGACTAGGCTTTATCAGTTAGAGTTGGATTCAGCTCTATGTGGCTGATGCCCAAATAGTAGTGGTTTAAATAAGATGTGAAAATTAAGTCTCAAGGAGACAGCCCAGCCCAACCTTTAAGACAACTCCATAAAGTTGTTAGAGACATAGGTCTCTTCTGGTCACCACTCTGCTGTCCCTAGGGTGAGGTTCTCTCTCTTGTGATTCTTAGAAACTAGAACTCCAGCCCTCACATCCATGTTTTGGGTAGCTAGGTGGGTGCATGTGGTGTTTGAGGGGAGTGGGCAGGGAGTGCACAAAAGGCAGATGCCAGCTGACTTTTAAGGCCATTTCCAGTAGTTTTCCCTGAACACTTCACTCCCACCTCCTTGGCAGAGCTTTAAGCACATGAGCATGCCTAGCTGCAAGGGAGGCTGGAAAACAGGCTCCTATTCTGGCCGGATAGGCCCCAGCAACAGCTCAGAGGCTCTGTTACTAAGGAAGAGGGAAAGGAAGATTAGGCAACTAGGTATTTAGGCCACGTGGGTGAATGAACAAAGGATCAGTCATATGTCACTCAGCCTGGACTTTTGTGCTTGCTGCGCCTTTACCTGCAGCCTTCCTGTCTGAGTACTTATGTGGCCCCTGTTTCTTTCCTTGTGTAGATTCCAGGTGGACTTACAGTGTGGCAGCAGTGTGAAGCCTCGAGCTGATGTTGCCTTTCATTTCAATCCACGTTTCAAAAGGACCAACTGCATTGTTTGCAATACTCTGAAAAATGAAAAATGGGGATGGGAAGAGATCACCTATGACATGCCTTTCAAAAAAGAAAGATCTTTTGAAATTGTGCTTATGGTGCTGAAAGACAAATTCCAGGTAGGTTTTGGAGAATGAAGGTCAAATCCTCATTAATGAGAATAAACCCACAAGCAAGCTTTTCACATTACATTTCTTAAATCCAGAGAAAGAGTTTGGCTTTATAATTTTTCTCCAAAGGTAGGGGATAGGGAGGTACCTAAATGTGAGGTGGGGCACAGCTGCTGTCTCCCACCAATGCTGCCTTGCGGAATACAGGTTCCAGTACGGCCAGATCTTTTCCTTAGGTCGTATTTCTCCTCGTAGGGCTGAGCTTAGTTCTGAACTGGCACAGTATTATATTAGTTAGGGGACCGTGAATTATAACCTCCATGACCCAAAGTGTGGGGAAGTCTGGAACTAATAGACAGATGGGGAATCCTAGTGTAGAAGTCAGAAAGGTTTTGTAAAATTAAGTCCTGCCACAAGATAGTTCTTTAGGATCATGAGATTTTAGACCCAAAGGAGATCTTAGAAAGCCTGCGTGTCGTGAACGCTCTCACTGGCTTTGTGGAGCGTTTCGTCCTGGTGCAGATGTGGCAGGTGGAATTTTGTCCAAGAGGCTCTTCCACCTGCTTGCCCTCAAGCCTGTAGAGCCTCCCAGACTAGAGCTCTAAACTGCTCGGAGTGAAAACCCTGTTAGCTCTGGTGCAGATCCTCTCTGTCCTTAAGGACGCTGCTCCCACCAGAACATCTCCCTGAAATCTCCTGAGCTCCATTCATCCCTCCCTTCTCTGGTCTTTTGAGCACTCGTGTCTCTATCATTCTTTCTTTTTTTTTGTGAGGAGATCAGCCCTGAGCTAACATCTGCCAATCCTCCTCTTTTTGCTGAGGAAGACTGGCCCTGGGCTAACATCCATGCCCATCTTCCTCCACTTTATATGGGACGCCGCCACAGCATGGCTTTCCAAGTGGTGCGTTCGTGCGCGCCCAGGGTCCAAACCAGCAAACCCCGGGCCGCTGCAGTGGAGCGCGCGCCCTTAACCACTTGCGCCACCGGGCCGGCCCCTCTGTCATTCTTTTTAAGACTTGTTCCTGTACTGTTGTGCTTTGGTTTTTTCCTGTGTTTATTTTGCCCACCAATGGGACTTTAAGCTCTTTGAGGTCAGAGACCATATCGTATTCTGCTCGTGTTTTCCCAACATTCCCTAACACAGCACCTGGCATTTGGGAGGGAGGGACAAGGAGCTGCGTGTACTGGAGACCTGCTCTGTGTCAGGCTCTGTGCTAGGAGACTCACAGAAGTGACTTTGTCATCTCCTCACAACAGCAGCCCTTTGAGGGAGAGCTCTGTCCTGCTTACAGATAGGAATCTCAGATAAGTCAGGTAACTTGCCCATGTTCATTCATCCAGCAGATTCAACCAATAATCATTGAATGTCTGCCACATGCAAGCATTAGGTCTTGCTTAGAGTGTGGTCCTCGAGGACAGTGCGGTGGTGAGCTTGCAGGGCAGGTCTCTGACCTGGGTTCACAGGCCTCCAGGGCATCGGGGAGCCTTTGAACCCTCATATATGTGCGTAGGTACACACGTGTATGCGTACATATGTTCACGAATGCATAATTTGTCTGGAGAGAGGGTGCATTGTGTTAGATCAGGTACTCAAGAAACACTGCTGGTGTTGTGGATACTTTCAGTCACAATTTGGTCAGATGTGTAGTTTGAAAACCTATGGGAAAAGGTATAAAATTAAACCCAAGTAAACAGATTTAAATTTGGATAAATTAATAAAATTAATTTATTAACTGTTTTTTTTTTTTGCGGGGGTTACTGTCTTCTGTGTCTGTCTAGGTGGCTGTAAATGGAAAACATATACTGCTCTATGCCCACAGGATTAGCCCAGAGAAGATAGACACTCTGGGCATTTATGGCAAAGTGAATATTCACTCCATTGGCTTTAGCTTCAGTTCGGTGAGTGCCCTTCCATAGCCTGAGGTCTTCTTTGATGATGTTTTCTGATGAAATGGTAGAAGACATCTTTAATTAACATCTTCTATTAAGATAAAGATAATGTAAATATCTCCCTCATTAGTGTATTAATTTCTCAGAAGTAAGTCTTTTAGATTAGTAGGATGCTATTTATTGACCAGGGCTTTATTGTCTGTAGGATCTCAAAGCTAATATGGTTCTAACAAAAAACCCAAAACAAACAAACAAGAAGCCCTTTTTAGCTAGATAGGGTATATTTCCTTGACATAGGAGTACAGTGGAGTATTTTTCTGAGATAATTTCCTAGAAGTGGAATGTCTCAGTCAAAGGGTATTGCCCTTTAATTTATGATTGATACTGCTAACTGGCTCTCCAAAAAGATGAAAACAATTTGCGGTATCAACAACTGGGCCCATTTGCTCACATTCTTCTTGACATTAGTCCTTATTCTCTTTAATGTTTGCCAATTTGATAAGAGAGAAAAGAACCCTAATACCCTAATGTTAAGTGCATTTTTAGATCATAATTTTCAAGCATGTTTTCATGTGTAGTACCATTTATAATTTTTTTGATATGTCAGTCAATTAGGTTATAGAAATCTGGTGCATGTTAAAAGTTAATCTTATCTTTTCTTCAGGATTTAAGAAGTAACCAAGCATCTACTCTGGAACTGACAGCGATAAGTAGAGAAAATGTAAATATTAAATCTTTTAATGAACTACTAGTTTTAAAATACTCTTTTAATTGCCATGTAAATCAGGTGACAAGCAGGCTGAGTTTTTTTAAAGTGTTTTTAATATGAAAAATTGTTTTTAATATTAATAGCCTGGAAGTAATCATTTGAAAATTGAGGCATAGGGCCAGCCCCGTGGCTTAGCGGTTAAGTGCGCGCGCTCTGCTGCTGGCGGCCCGGGTTCGAATCCCAGGCGCACACTGACACACCACTTCTCTGGCCGTGCTGAGGCCGCGTCCCACATACAGCGACTAGGAGGATGTGCAGCTATGACATACAACTGTCTACTGGGGCTTTGGGGGGGAAAAAATAAATAAATAAAATTATAAAAAGAAAAAAGAAAAGAAAATTGAGGCATATACTTCTGTGGTGCCAGGCACTGTAAGTTGTGCTGATGCTTAAACTCTGTGTGTCTGACCACTGCCCACCATTCTCACATAAAAAGAACTCTCTCACTCTTAACTGTTGAATAGTACTGTTGTGAGGTGTTTCTAGATATTGAACATAATCAGTGCATTGGCAAAAGAACTTCCACATGTATCTTCTCCCTCATGGGAACAAATGCAGTTTAAACCTGGAGTTTTGCTGTTACTAGTGGAGAAAGTGAGTCTTAGTGATCCCAGCACATTCGTACCTCATAGGTAGAATATAATCTCAGCGTTTTGGGAGCACCCTGGAAAGAACAAATAAAACGTATTTGAAGCTCACATGTAGTCCTCTGAAAACGATTAACTTATGGTGGAGGACACAGGATTCAGAGCAGCAGGACTGTTGGACTGAGTAGCGCTTTACTGTTGTATCCCACGCCATCAGAAAGCACTGGCACCTGGATGTCACACCCAGGGCAGGGCAGGCCTAGGTTCTGGCCAGTACAACCAGTGAGATCTGACTGCTCATATTATAAAATGTATTTCTTTCTTTTCACACATTCTCATGTTATCTTTCTCTTGCAATAGGTACAAAAGTCTGGCATGTCACAGTTTGTAAATATTTTTGCCTAGGTTATAACAAGTGGAACATTTTATAAAATTGCCCAGTCAATGAATAGTTGAACCTTGGAAATCAGCTTCATTCATTCCATACCTTATTGCAGAACTGTTTCCCTACAGCTTAGTAATAGAGAAGGAGACAATTCTAAAATCGTACCCAGAACTGTCTACACCAAGAGCAAAGTTTCGACTGCCAATCACACTTTGACTTGCGCCAAAATACTACCTACCAACTGTTTGTCAAAGGTTTGAAAAGCCAAAAATTTTCTTAATTCTGTAAAAACAAATTAAGTTTTAATTAACTGGTATGTGTAACCCTACCCTCAGTAGAAGCCTAAAGCAGCCACTTTGCCTTTATATGCTGGCCCTGGACAGATATCCGTCAACCAGGCATCAAGTCTCTGAGCCATTAGTATGTATTTCCTTAACTCCTTGCATCTTGGCTGTTTCCCCTTCAGGTAGAACATGGAGCACTGCTTCAGAGCCCAAGTACGGGTGCCTTTCTCAGAGTGAGTTTTACTCATACAGAGGATGTCAGGTCCCACTCCACGTCCATTCATTTCAGTGTCTAGAAAGTACTCGATGAGCGCTTGCTGTGAGCCAGGCACAGTGCTGACTGCTGAGGACCCATCTGGGACCAAGGCAGACTTAGTCTGTCCCTTCATGGGCTTTCGAGTCATGACCTTTAAACATTCCCCAGGGTCGTTGGACAGTTTTCCCATGAGATCCCTTTGTGCAGGCTTCCTAGTGCTGACTATGGTTTCTTTTCAGACTCTGCCATTTGTTGCAAGGTTGAACTCCTCAATGGGCCCTGGACGAACTGTTGTCATTAAAGGAGAAGTGAATACAAATGCCAAAGGGTCAGTATCAGTAAGTTATCAGTAATAGTGTCAATGCTTTCCCTGTGTGTCTCTTATTGCCTTATACTCCATAACAGTCTTGTGAGATATAAATATAAATAGGGCTAGTGTCATAATCCTCATTTGAAAGATGATTATATTAAAGCAAGAGGAAGTTAGACTGCTAATGCTAGTTGGTGGCAGAACCAGGACTAAATTCCAGTGTTCTGACCTAGGTTTTTTGTCGCCGACAAGAGGGTGGCATTTTTGTCCACGAGGCCCACCCTCACCTTGTAGAACTCCAGGGCAGCCCTGTGAGATCAGGTAACTTTTGTTAGGGCTCCTCTTGTCATGTGACTTATAAAATTCTGCTTTAAGAACCTTCTCCAGAGATGTTCAGATTTCTGAAAAAGCTTGAGATTAGAGCTATTTTCTAGAAAGCAGTATATTTTCAAGAATGCAAAAATGTATAAATGTTACAAGAGAATATCTGCTTGAAAGGATCCCGTACTCCTGCAGCCTGAAGTCAGCATCTGGTTTACTTACTCTCACCCTTCACTTCCTTCCCAGCCAGATCTGTAGTCTCAACATTGATTTTCAAGTTTTTCTATTTTTATTTTGCAAATAACACACTTACATCAATGGAATGCTAACTCAGAATTTAAAATTTCACTTTCATCTCCGTTTCTATGTCAGTGTGCGTACGTTTTCTGTAGTTATAATCAGAGTTCAGTTCTGATTGATAAAATTGCAGAAACTGCACTACTCTCTTGGTTAATTAGGTTTTTTTTTATTCTCTCAAAAGCTTTAATATTGATCTAAAATCAGGAAAATCAAAGGATATTGCTCTCCACTTGAACCCACGCCTGAATACCAAAGCATTTGTAAGAAATTCTTTTCTTCAGGAGTCCTGGGGAGAAGAAGAGAGAAATATTACCTCTTTCCCATTTAGTCCTGGGATGTACTTTGAGGTGAGATTATCTTTTTTTGAAAATGGGACAGGAAAAAGAATCCTGGGATCAGGGGTAGGATAAATGGTCCATTTAAATCAAGTCCTAACTTAATATGTGTAGGTTGTGTGTGGTTTTTGTTTGTTTATTTGGAGGTTGTATTTTGAAGGCCCCCTTTTATAACACAGTCAGTAAAAATGGCAAAGCCAGTAGAGTACCATGTTATTTGTGTGTCAAATTATTTGACATTTGTTGTCATACTGAAAATTACTGTGTAGCCCCCTATTAGTTAATAGGAATTTTGACAGGAACCTTATCTCAGGACTTGGAGTAACATGTTTAATCCTAAGTGAACCTGAGGACATAGGAACCATAAAGCTGCCTGTATTGTCCGTCGTCTCCCATCTTGGTTATACACAGTTTTAGGTGGCAGTCCTGTCTTCCAAGGAGGTAGTCCTGTTTGTATAGATCCAAGGAAAGATATGTTTAGATCATTGGAACTTGAAGGCATGTAGTCCTGAGTCCCCAAATATGTGAATATTATGATACCACCACCTTTCTCACGTAACACAATCTGGATGCTGAGCAGAGAATAATCTCCTTGACTTGCGGATGCTGAGTGGTTGACTAGGTTCACTCACTAGCTTAGGTGACTCACTGCTTCACATGGTCATTTAGGGTCATTGATTTAGGTTATACTTCTACAACATTTTAAACTGTCACATGCTCTGGACCATTTGAGTTCTTGAGGACTTATCAGAACTAGTTGTTAAAAGTATGAACATCAAGGCTGAATAGAAGATGGTGATTTGACATTAATATTTATTCACAAGTTTCAGTCTAATGCATATCCTGGTATGTGGAGTAACAGACAGATGTGAGCTAATCATAGGTTCCTTGGAAACTGGATATTGGTTTGAAATTCAGAAGGATATGGGAGGTTGAAAGTAAAGTTGGGTTTTCCAGATTTAGGGGATGATCTGAACAGGTCTTTGGAGGTGAGAAGGGCAGCACAAGGGTTTGGTGACTTGGCAGGAGTCAAGGTATAACGGGTGTCTTGGGGTTCACTGGAGGGAGATAGAGGTGAATGCTCCAGGAGGAAGTTGATCCTTGTGGTTGGTGATAGGAAACCAGTGACATAACTTGTTTTTTGACTTATCTGAGCCCCAAGTTTGGAATTACTGTATTAAAATTAAAAAGGACAATAATAATAATAAATTCCTTTAAATAATCATTTTTCCTTTTGCTGGTTTTCCACTTCAGGAACAGTAATTATCCTTGTGTTGGATCATTGTTGTCTGTTTTCTGTAGTGATAGATTTTTTCCAATTGCTTCAAACTCCTGCCTTTTTAATATGCTTTCATTGAGATTCTCAGATCTTTCCATTATGCCATTACTCTGATTTTAAACAGTATCTTTTGTTCCTTGCTGTTTCAGATTCACTTATTGGTTCCAGCTAGTCTTTTAAAAAATATCTTTCAGTTTTGTAATTTCATCTGTGAACTCTTCTGATCAAATTCATGTTCTTACCAGCTATTCTATAATGTCAGATGGTTGTGAGAGATTTTGTTGTTCCACGTTTTCCTCTAAGTTGGGTGTTTTTTTTTTGCATGTTATGTATTTTTATTCTTTTGCAATAGTATGTTCATTGGCTGCATGCCATCTCTTTTCCATTTATTCATAATGCATTGCCTCTGCACTTGCTCTGATACAATATAGGTAACTGATTGACTCTTTTTCCACTGTATCCATCTAATGCCAGCTTGTTCTCCCTTCTGAGCAGGAAGCTGTATGTTTTGTGTTCTTTTGAGATTTTGTTACATGTACGTTCATTACCAAAGGTCCCTTCCACCTGGTTGAAACTGGGGTTTCCACCAGTGTTGTGGGGATATAATCCCAGGTTATGGATATTTTCGCCAATTCTCTATGTAGCCCTAGAGCTTTCTGTCAGCTCTGTTGTCCATGGGATTTCCCCTTCTTCCTAATTTCCCCCAGCAGCCATTTCCACTAGTCCTGTCAAAAGATAGACACTCAGTTTGCTTCTTTGCAGATTCAGATTTTATACCTCAGTCTACCTCTGGGGATGGGGCCAGGTTAGCAGCAAGGCTGTGCTGCTCCTCCCTGCTCTTCTGAAGCCTTGATGGAGGCAAGGAGCATAGGGGAGAACACAGTGCAGGTTCACCAGACTGGCCTTTTCCTTGTGGGTGGGAAACAGATGGTAGACTCAGTGGCCAGACTGGCACTGGGAACGTGCTTTCAGAAGTATGAGGTTTAGGTGTAGTGATTTAAGAGGATAGTAGTTTCTTTTGTTTGTTACTGCTTTGAGTTTTAGGCAAAGACAACCCTGAAGTGCTAACACCAGTGATGCATCTGAACTGAATCTCTGCCAGAATGCTGATTCCTCCATAGATTCATAGAATATTGAACTTTGAAGAGCTTTTGGGAAACAGACTGAGGCCAAGATGTGCTGAGCTGGGATGGAAATGAGGGTCACCACGCAGCTGGGCAGTCACTAGCAAGTGCTCTAAACTTCTGAAATTTCATAGTCTGATTTGTCCAAGACCCTAGAATTTGAGGCAGAAAAGTCAGGATGCAAGTCCATTGGTTCCCAGCCTGTTAGTTGGAGTCAGCTCTTCCGTGAATCAGGGTCAGTCAGCAATTTTCCTGCTTCATTAGAGTTCTCAGACATCAGTGGGGAGGGGCAGCTTTCCACTTCCCCAGGAGCGAGGAGCAGGAGAGGGAGCGTGTGAGGAAGGGAGGGCTAGCCAGGCCCTGGGGACAGTGTGAGGTTCCATGCATGTTGAGAGTCACTTCCTCTCAGGACAAGGCAGAAGGTGCCAGTACCTGATACACCTTAGTTAGATTAGGGTCTGAGAAATCACAAGAGGGAAGTTAAAGCAGCAGGCTGGGAAAACTTCTCTATGTATCAAGTAAACCAAATGGTTTACTTTTTGACACTCAGAGTACAAGAAACAAAATTTTAAACCAAGGGGAAACACTAATGTTGTGTGTCCTTTCTTTCCAGATGATAATTTATTGTGATGTTAGAGAATTCAAGGTTGCGGTAAATGGCGTACACAGCCTGGAGTACAAACACAGATTTAAAGAGCTGAGCAATATTGACATGCTGGAAATTGATGGAGATATCCACTTACTGGAAGTAAGGAGCTGGTAGCTGACATGACTGCCACAAAAACTGAAATGCAAAATGGCTTATGTAACACTGGCCTTGTTAAAATGCATCTTACTATCATTTATGTTATGTCGTCTATATATATTGTTAAATTGAGGTAGCATACCAACATTAAGTCCTACTTACTGGGTGTTCTCAGTGCTTGCCATGAAGAATGACTTTGTCTAGCCCAGAATGAGGAAATTTGAGGCAACAACAACTTTTAGCTATTATTAAGGCCTTTCTAAGCTCTCTCTCCTACACTGGCCTCTTCTTTTTTAAACCCACTTCACATTCAACAAGTATTTATTAAGTGCCTCTTACAATACAGTAGCTAACAAGCATTGAGCACGTGTTTTTTGCCAGCACTGTGCTAGGAGCTGGGGATATATACACAGTGGTGCACAAAACTACTGTTCCCTGTTCTCTTGAGCTCAGAATCTTCTGTGCTCTACCACTGTTTTTTCTGCAGGCATTGCATAAACTTACCAGGGACTTAAAAAGAATTAGCCAGTAAATTACCTAAAGACACTAATTTATAGAGACACTACCCCTTCACCAGTGATTGCTTTCTTAACCAGTGTGGTCATATCCTGTAACTGAAAGGATTGATGTTGACTTACATCTGGCAGTTTTCTTCAGCATAATAAATATCTAGCTCTACTAGCTGAAAGCATTACCAGATAATTAACATTATGAAATCTGAACACAGCACGAAGGTTAAGGCAAAAAACAAAGAAAAACAAATGGTGTTGAAATTAACTTGATATCAGTCTCAAGGCCACTGATTTCTGTAGCAGTAAATGCTTATTTTAGAGTATTTGAATTTAGGGTGAGTCAGAGGTCTGCACATAATTCCTACAGAAAGTTTAAGGTAGATGCAAGAGGAATTCAATTGATAAAATGATTATGGGTAACAAAGCAATGTCAAGATTAGACTTACTGTTTATAAAATAGGCACTATGAGAAAGTAAAATGTACGAACTGAGACCAATGAAGAGGCAATGTAAAATCTGTTGCTTGTCCACATGCAAACCAACACTGCCTCTCTGCTCTTCTAAAGATTAGTCCATCATCATTAGCGACTGAGATCAAAACATTGTTCTACTTTAAGTGATTAAAATCAAACCTGTATCAGCAGGTTAAATGGTTGCATTTCTGTAATTTTTTTCTATTATTCTTTGAAGCGAGTTGGCAGAAGTTCTTTGTAGAATTCTTACAGGTCAGATCTTGTTACGGGAAATTTCAAAGGCTTGGGAGTGGGGAGGTAAAAAGCTAAATCAGTCAGATCATTTTATCATATTAAATTGCTGGGCTGAATTCTGCCAGGATTTAGGAATATTTTCATAACACACTTTGGTTAGATATTATTTGTATCCATATATTGAAAAGAATACTATTACCAGTCTTATTTTTTAAAAGTAGTGTAGAAACTTCTAGCTCTTCATTCTTTTCTACCTTTTCATGTTAATTAATTTATTATGCTGTCTTGCCAAGCTCAAAAAAACATTGGGGGTAGACGTGTTTGGGAAAGTTGTAGAAGGCAAGAAGGCTCTAGAATCCCCCAGGTTATTTTTTTCTTCATTAAAGACCATCAGAGGGCATGACTGAGATGTTGGAGACTGTAGGCCACTTAGGAAAAAATAAAAGCCCACTTAACATTGTTTCCTCTAAGTCCTCTAAGTCTTAAACAGTTCATTTACATTTTTGTTTTATGTGGCGGTATTACTGAGACCTAAGATTGATTCTTTGATAGAATAAATACAAAATCTTAAGATGTTTTCTGAAAAGCTATTAGCATTAATCAATCTTACCAACACATTTCTTAAAGAGAAATATGCATTCCTAGCATACTCTCTCTCAAACTGCAAGTTAGCCTTTTGCTTTGTCATAATTCTGCACTAAATTTCTATATTAAATCAGAGCAAAGGCTTTCAAACTCAATTAGAACATTCTATGGGCCATTCTTAGATGCCTTAAATTTTAAAAAGGCATAAATAAATAAAATGCCTTGGGCAGATTTAATTTTATTTGAGCCCTCATTTTCCAGCTTCACCATGACATAGTATAGCAATTATAGAACTTCAAAGCTTTGAAAAAAATCTGATATTTACTTTCTTTCTCATACAAGTAATTCTTGGTTAACCACCAGTGGAAATGTGATCATTTCTAATCCTAGGGGGGATCCTTCATGCCACCCAGCTTTTCTGGGCCCTTTCTAGTTGTGGGATCAGTCAGGTGTGGGTTGTTTTATAAACAGCCTATTGCCTCCACCCCCTCCTCCCCCATGAAAGACAGAAGGATAAAGAAGACAATCATAGTCCTGAGTGAAAGACGCATTCCAGAACCACTTCCCTCTGTGGGTACACACACACACACAGAAAAATGATGGCTGAAGTGTCATCTGCCCAAAGTAAAAGGTAAAAACCCAAATGTGCTGAATAACTGTCATTTTCTTGAAGAGCTACTTTGAGTGAAATCTCTGACATGGATACCATGTACATAAAACATTTCTTTACAGAAGAGGAGTTAAGGCTTTACAGTCTAAATGAGGTCCTGTTAGCTTTGGGTGCTGAAATTAAACATGTCTGTAATATTACTAACATTAATCAGAAAAGACTATAATAAAGGTTTAAACAAACACAGCAGTCTGTATAAAAACACCACGTATCATTTACTCTTTTTGTAATTCTATACAACTGGAGTGGTAGCACAAACCGGGTGGGAATTTTGGAAAGAAGGCCAAGTAGGTGTTAAGGCACCAAAAGTAACATGGTACCAAACAACCAAAAATAAAAATATGAAAAATAAATCTGAACTCTGAACAGAGTATGAAACACCAAAAAACCAAAGTTTTAGAAGTAGCTCTGGAGTGGCTCTCCCAGTATAGCTTCCAGTTGCTGAACAGTCTTTTGGCATTGACGTTCTACTTCTTCACATTCATCTAGAAAAAAAAATCAAAATGAGTGAGTCTTCCTGCCTCAATTATCAGTAGCCTAATTCTTCACGTCTTGCATTCTTTGGCCATCGTTCAATCAAGAGAGAGAAATGAAGCACATTATTAAAGCTGAAAGCATCACGGAATACCACCTCCGTATTCTTCTTTCTGCCTTCATTCCCTTCTTATACCTTAGACTCGGAAGCTAAGTTAGAACCTCCAAAATAGCAGTACACAGATGACAATTCCAGATTCCTAGTGATGCCACTCTTTAGTAGCTCACACAGCCCCTCTCCAGGATGTAAGAAACAAAAGTGAATGTACTTTGTTTTGGATAAGCAGTGAATCATTACTATGAAAGTATTTGTTTGCTTCCATCACCCCTGCTTAATAATAAGATGTACTGTTATTTCTTGGGGTGCATGGTGGCGCAGTGCTTACTGTGCCACAGGTCCAGAACTGCACAAACCTGGACTTAAACCCCAGTTCCACCTCTCACACGCACTCCGTTAGTTTATTAAATTACTTAATCCTTTTAAAGCCTCTAGTTTCTTCCTTTGTAAAACAGGGATAATGGCACACTGTATACCCTGTCGTGAGGATTAAATGCGATCATCTATGGAAAGCACTGAGTAAACGCTGGTCATTATTAACAGGCAGATATCCTATTGCATCCTTAATGGCACAAGCCATTTGACACAATAACCCTACATCTGGGGACCAAAATTTCAATCATATAAATGTATGAGGTTAATGAAAAACAATACTGTAGTCTGTACTATCACAAAAAAAACACAGAAGTAAAGATAGTGAAGGCTACACTGTAAACAAAATCTCAAATGATCATGAGGCTGTCACTTCCTAACATGCTCCCTCCACCCTACTCAAAGTAGGAACTCGGCCTCCTGGGAGCAGGGCAGATGACTGGAGTCCAGGACTAATCACATTATATCCAAATTTGCATTATCACTGGGCACATTTTCACAGAATTTTACTGTAATTATTTCTTAATAATTTGGGAATTACCTTCCATCAATTCAGCTAAGAAAGGAATGGATTCTGGTAGCAAAACAATATAATTCTCCTTTAGTTTTTCAGCCAGTGCTAACACAGTAATCAGAGCAGCAAATCGAACCTGAAAGGGATAAAATGGTAAAGAATGATAAAAAACAAGTATTGCTATATTTATTATCTTAAGATCTGTCTAACTTGAGACAATAAAATGTTATTTCACGTGAGTTTGTTTGACTTTATGTCCATTCAACCTTCATCTTAGAAAACCAGTTTATTTACCAATTGGGATCTGTTTACGGTATGGCTTTTAAATCAGTGTTTTTCAGACTGTTCCAGTACTGCAGGCCTTTAATGTGAATATCTTTTTATAACATTTTACTTTAAAAAAATAAATTTAACTGCACTAGTGCTCACCAGCTCGCCTGGCTGACAGAGATGATGCTGACCTGGCAGTCGGTTGGCCCTGGCCATCTCAGGCAGGACTCCCCTCCCTCAGAATCCTGAGTGTGGTCCCCAATATAGCTGTGTGAGGGGCCAGCGTACCACCTCTGGTCACACTCTTATCTCAGCCCTGAATAAAAACACACTCACTCTGTCACAATGTCCCAGTTTTGGAACTTAAAAAAAGTTCAGTTGTTTCTCACAAGACTTGTCTATGACAAGGAATGCAAGCAGTTGCTTTGGTACTGTTAGCAATTTACTTTGAAACAAAAGCTGTACTAGTCCTCTTTCTGGTTTGGGTAATTTAAAGAACATTTGGATATAACAAAGTGAGTTGTTTAAAGAAGATTCGTAACTACCTATGTTCAATCAGGATTTTCTTGATAAATTTAACACTGAAACTTTATAAGAACCTACAGTTTAAAATCTGGGGGTTCATCAAAATAGCCTCATTGTTCTCATTATTTCCTAATAAATAAATGTTATGAAATTTCACCTAATAAATCTATTAATAAAATTCTGCTTTGGTCTGTTTTATCTACTGGGGTTCTAGTATGATAGTTTGAGAAATGGTGATTCATTGCTAGAACAGTTTGAAAACTTTCGACCCTCAGGTATGGAATTTTAACTTCCACTCGTGCCCGTTCCCCCATGTTAATGGGTGTCAACCGCTACCACTTAGCCTACCTTACTTCCACAAAATCCTAAGCCTGATGTATACATGGAGATGATACACTGCTCTAACTCAGACGAATGTTCTGTGGACAGACTGAAAGCATTTGTCTCAGGAGCACAATGACATTTAAATGGTGCTTAAAAAACACACGGAAATATTTCAAGTCTTTTCAAGATTTAAAAGTATTTAGAAAATATTTTAGTACTTGTGTCTAACACACCATGGGGTGGGGGAGGACTATTCTTTTTAAATAGCCTAAAGTAGAAAGCAAAAATTTTTCAGGCTCAAACTTCTGCCTAACACAGCCCGACCTCTAGTCCTAGAAGACAAGCAATGGTATTTGTCCCTGCTAGTTTACCACGGTCCTACATCCATGACCACTTCAAGGTTGTTTAGGCTATACAGTGAAAATGTGCAGCGTCAGGGCTTCTCAACCACAGCTCCTAACCTTGGGTGAGGAGTCCCTCGTCTTTAGCAGAATCTGGTAGTTCAGTGGTTTCCAAAGAGAGTCATCTGCCATGGCCACTGAAAACTGTGCGATGCAGGGTATCAGGTGCTTCGTCACCCGTTCCTGGAACTTCTCTTCTCCTCCAAGCCTGTTTTCCAGCTATTCAGAATGAGACAAACACTTGAGCAACAGGTCTCATTTCTGTTTGAAAAAATACCCCAATGTATAAATAATATTTTACTATCCTTCATGATATTAGTGGGCTCAAAAACCAGGTATTATTCTAATACTCTCTCTAGAGCAAATCTACCACCTTATGGAACTCAAATGGAATCTCACAGCCCTTAGCTTCATCCCTTTCCCTCCAGCAGGACATCTTAGAGGAGTTTTTCCAGAGGGCAGCAATAAACCCAGTTTTAAAAAATTAAAAATGTAACCATTAGACCTTCTATCATGCCTTTCATTTGAAAAAGTAAGAAGTAAACACCACTATGAAGATAAGTTATCTCCATGAAAAATGAGAAATTGGTTCTGAAATAAAAATTTTGTAAAAAAGGAAAAATAAAACATGGAGGAAAAAAAACCCCCAGCAAGCTGTCATTTTGGTAGATATAAAACTTGTAAAAATTT